GAGAAGAGCATTTTTACCTAACAAATGAGGCAAAATACTCATGCGCTACTTGCTTTAGACTGTAGTTTACGTCGGAGCTTTTTGTGTATAACGAAAGTCGCCTAAAAACTCTTGACACTAAAGGACTACACTCTCGTACAAGTTGTAATGGTAACACTTAATAATAATAAAAATAATGTAAACTCATACGTTATCATGTACACGTTTTGTAAAATATGTAAATAATTGTTTTTTATTTATTTCTAGTTATGATTAAGTTAGTAATTATATACGTAGTTTTACATTTAGAGGGAGACTTTGTACAAAAGTCGATTGCTTGGGTACCTCTGTCCCATTCGTGTTTCTACCGTGAAGCAGTTGTGTTTGCATGGCTGTGTTTCGGTTTGAAGGGTGGGATAAAGCGTGAATTTACAGGGTACAGAGGAATAACATCTGAGTCCTCAGGAATGGCAAAGCATGGGGGGTATCATGGGCTAAACAGTATACTCTGTTATGTCCTAGGTACTACTCATGTCTATAGGCGACGGTTACCACTTTCCATCAGGTGAGCCGTCAGCTTGTTTGCCATTCTAAGTTGTATAAAAAAAAAACATACCTTCATATTTGTCACGCCTGTCTCCCATTAGGTTTAGGTTAGATAGAAACAATGGAACGCCAAATGCTTCGATACAAACATACCTCTAGTTTTAGTATATTAATTTTATGTTCCATATTTATATGTTATTAATCTTGTTATTCTAAAAAAATACACAGGTAATTTATTTTATAATAAATCTTACATGTAATTTTATATAAGTTTTAACGTGAACAAACTTGTGTGTGATAATAAACAGATTTAAGTCTATTTTAATAAAAATTTTTGAAAATGTAAACACTCAAACATGGTACTGCTCATGTCTATAGGCGACGGTTGCCACTTTCCATCAGGTGGGCCATCGGATTGTTTGCCATTCTAAGTTGCATAAAAAAACTCTCTAAATTTAATTTTTAATAATTCAAACCAATCTGTAGATACCGGCTTGATATATATATATATATATATATATATATATATATATATATATATATATATATATATACGTTACGATACAAAAATATTTTCCGTAAATCCAATTGCTGAAGACAAGAAGATTGTCAAGAACGTCATTATTTATTTTACTACAACGACGTAGTTTTGAAATAGGTTGGTAGCCTATCAATCAGTTAATCGACTTTCGATTTGTGCTACCAATTGGAACGTCAGTTTGTTTGTAGTAATTATAAGCACACATTATATTTTAATTTAATAAGTACTGGTTTAACTTATATGTTATTTGGTCGAGAAATCTCAACTAAACTCAAAGAGCCGAGGCGTACGCTCGCGTTATAGCCGCTCAAGATTAAGTGTCTCGATTAGTCCTGAAACTAGTCGAGCTCTCGCGACGTAAGTTAAACCGGTGGTTATTGTATTAAAATATTAATTAATAATTTGTTTACATTTTCATTAAATTTCATTGAAATAGTCTTTTTTTTTGTATTTTCAGTAGATGTAAATATTAGTATAATATTGTGTTGTCGGTTTGTGTGTCACTAACAGTTGCTGTCTGTTTGTTTGCATGTTTGTCCGCTGGTGCAGATCGAAAACTGGAACCATATTTGGCCATGGGGAGATACCAAGACATACTGTAGACATAATAGGTATGTTAATATACATAAATATATTATGTTTTTACCTGACTGAAGAAATAAGAGGAGTTATGTTTTTTAGATGTACTTATGTACTATAGTATATTCGATTCTTTTCAATTAATCAAATTGATTATTAGCAAGAAATGCATATTATTATGATTACAAAAAAAAAAAACGGGTTGAAAAACAATATAAAATTGGCACATACTGTGCCGTAGAGTTAAAACCTTAAAATGACTAAAAAATGACCTCTCACAGAGTCGCACCGTCATCCTAACGTCACTATCGTACTTGTATTCTAGCTGTAAGAGTATGCAAATAGCAAAGACAAAAATTTAATACATTCAGGTCATAATTATTGCTGAGTAAACTAAATTATTCGAAATTTCGATTAATATATATTTATATACTATAATAGTCGCCGTGTGGTCCCGGCGTAGAGTAGGCCACCTCTTCCTTTCCCGTGAGTGTCGTAATAGGCGACTAAGGGAACTTAATAGTCGAGAGATTGTCAGCAGCGTTCTGCTTATTTATTTATTTACAAGAAACATGGTAAGTGTATAGATGTTACAATAAGTATAAGTCCTCATATTTCGCCATAATTAGGCGTGCTAATATTAAAACTTAAAAAGAATAAATGTTAAATGAGTCATTAAAATTAGAAATGTTATATAAAAAAAAATACATCAAAAATATCAGACACTTGTCAACAATAAAAAAGAAAGAAATGTCACTGTCAAATCATGGACTATTGACAACAGCTGCATTGTAACACGTTAAGTAATTCAAGTAGGTTGTTTACCTTTTTGTATCAAAAATAAAATGCTTAAAATATTACTAAAGCCTAATTGCGGTTGCCAATCAACTTGCCAAGCGTAGCAGTTACTGGCAAAGCACCCCAATATCTATGAGGGAGGCCTATGTCCAGCAGTGGACAGTTTACGGCTGATATGATAATGACGATGTTAAAGCTATAGTGGGACACCAGTGGAGAACGAGACAATGGTATTCAACCCGAATTAGTTTGTAGGGATAACCATTTGAAGGTCGACCTGGTAGACTTCAATCCCTTCTCCACAATCCAGATGTACTTATTTATACCTATACCAAAAAAAACCATTGCCCTCTTTTTCACAGTCGGGTAAAATAAGATTGTCGAAAATAAAATAAAAAATAGCTGTCTATGGCAGATCAAAAAAAAAAAAAACATTATTTTAAATAACACCTGAGTACTCAGGAATGGCAACGCATGGATGGTATCATGGACGAAACAGTACACTCTGTTATGTCCACGGTACTGCTCATGTCTATAGGCGACGGTTACCACTTGCCATCAGTTGGGCCGTCAGCTTGTTTGCTATTCTAAGTTGCATAAAAAAAAAGGTATTGGAAACATTTCAATCCGTTCCAGGGAATCGAACTGCCACCTAGTGGACTTTCGCACACTACACGAGAAATACGTGTCCAATTTTGATAAAATTGTCAATGTGAGTGCGCTTTTGCATGGGGTTTGTATGGTGACATATTAACCTGCATTTAATATTACTTTTAAGTAAATATATATTTATTTCTCTCACAAAATATTAGTCTCTCATACTGAGTCAGCTGAACGGATTGTTCTGATGAACTTTTCGACGCCTACAGCCACCTTTCACCATCGTACCACCCGCCATTGGCAGGGAATACATACCAGAGTGATCACGAACAATGCAGTTTTAGTGGAGTTTCCTCCCGCGAATACTCAGGTTTTTTTTTTGAATGGGTGAAAATGATATGGTAACCCCGTCTGCGCTATCGCTATACAATGGCGGGGCACCAGTGATTGATGACTGATGAGGATGAAAGCAGGTCAGTTAGCCCATCCTGAGGAATTCTACTAGAATTTGCCACGATGGTTTCCATGGGGAACCACGTGGAGGGCGACCTGACAGGGTATATTCCTAGTATGGGGCTATTTGACCCTATTACTAACTATCCCTTTCCCCCAACGAACACTCAGATTGTGGAATGATCTTTCCGAGACTTTCTTTTAGGGTTCTTCAAAAAGGACGTATAAAGTTTTCTTAAAGGTTGGCAATACGCACAAGACAGTCGTAGTGTTACAGACGTCTATAAGTTATGGTATCCCCGTTTACCATCAGACGGGCCGTATGCTTGTTTGTCAGCAAAGTAGTATAAAAAAACGCGCCATGTCAGTATGGGAGGCTCGTATTGTTTTGTCTTTTCTCGCCCCTTGTTCCTTCGGTGAAAATATTAAGTTTCACTGATAGGAAGCTCCCTTCAAAAGGTTGCCGACTATTTCGATATCCCCCTGTATTAATGACATTATGCTACATTGCCAATTACTTTTTTAATCGATTTCAAACAAGAAGAAGGTTTTTTTTTTTATTTTATTTTATTGGCACATAAAACAGATCACAACCATAAAAAACTTAAGTACTAATTACATTTGTGACTCGGTTAGGTTATAATCCAATCACATTATGTGCACAGCTTGAGTAATTCATTAAAAACAAACACATTGAATAAAAAGAAATACATAAAATGTTATATAAACATATAAAAGATAAAACTATATAAAAAAACATATTTTTAATCATATTCTTCAAAACAGAAAACAAGTTCTTCCTAAAAATCTAATATTTTGTACCGAATATGTCGATGGATTTGTGGTCGAGCAGTAAGTCGTTATAATAACGACACAATTTTAATTCGGGTGTATTTTTTTTTTTTTTGTATTTATTACCCCAGAACTCCGTCATTTATAAACCGATTAAGTATTTTTTTTTTTATTTGTATAGATATACATATAGATTGATGCCATAGATATATCTTTAAAGTAGAGTCAGTAGCTTGGTTTTATAAAATGAACTACATTTGCCACAATGCCGTCAGTATATTATTATTATTTTTTTTTTGTTTTATATTGCATTTTTGTATGTAGGCATATTACGTGGCATCATTGATACTTGATATCCTCGCCATTATTAATTATGTACCGATTTTGACAATTATTTCCAAATAATATGTTTACTTGTAGCTGAAAAAAACAATGGAATTATGTTTAAAAAAAAAAAACATTTTAAATCCATTATTTTTTTCTTAATAGGAACGACTGCATGAGTTAAATGTAATACTATCCTTAATCCATGGCCATATAAATATTAAAAAAAAAATTTGGCGGTAACAAGCTGCTAATTTTTTTTTTATTTAAGAATAATTTTTCACCTGTAGAAAGAGAATGCCAAATATTATCCTCAATCTATGTTTATACCAATATCTTTGTTTCCAATCGTGTTTTCCGATTTTGTCACGTTCACTCGTTCCATTAGGATCAACTTCATGAAATACGAGAAGCCGCCGGTGTCTCTGGACCACCTGCAGCACTCGGATGTGTACAAACTGGTGCACAACATGGACCAAGCACCGGTCAAGCGTGTTGAGATGCTGACGCCGGTGGTTGCCGAGGTCGACTATAGGGAGGTGAGATAGATGCACACTACTTCGTTTTTCAAACTATCGATCATTTATTCTTTATTTCATTCACTTTTTCGTCCTTTCATTTTTTTTTCTACCACTGAGGTGGCAAACAAGCATACGGCCCACCTGATGGTAAGTGGTTACCGTAGCCTATAAACACCTGTAATACCAGAGGTATTACACGCGCATTGCCGACCCTGAATAAACCTCTTTACCCCACTTTTGAAGAACCCCATGCTGTAGTCTCTTGGGAAAACCTCGGCAGGGAGCTCATTCCACAGCCTGAGTGTTCGCGGGAGGAAACATCTCTGAAACCGTCCTCTTTTATTTACTATTTTACTCTGTTCATGCCGGTCTTAAGGTTGATAATAGAAAACAATTCTTGAAGTCATTTATGTCATTTAATACTTACAATATCCATAGATACAGAATTAGTAGAAAATTAATTTCTTTATTCAAGCATCGAAACATACCATATCACCTGCTAAATGGCAACGCATGGGGGGTATCATGGGCGAAACAGTATACTCTGTTATGTCCATAGTACTGCTCATGTGTATAGGCGACGGTTACCACTTTCCATCAGGTGGGCCGTCAGCTTGTTTGCCATTCTAAGTTGTATAAAAAAAACCTGCTAAAGTGTCAATGACGACATTTAATATATAAGATATAAATAATTATATTATAATATATTATATAGAAATGAGATCGAACACATTCCCTCTTACATTCTCTTTCTCATTCAATCTCATTCATTTTCGTTCATTCTCTCGTTCAAGTAATTTTTCACTTAGCACCAATATACCAATAGTACCAATCCAGTTGGAATAGTAAGAAACAAATGCAAAATATATAAATGTTTATAAGAATTCAACTATAAAAAGGTCAAACAGAAGCAAATAACTATTTATTTTTATTCGCTTCTCTCTTTCACTGGCTCATTTGGTCGTTCTTTCATTCTATCGTCAAACATTTTAGCTTCCGTTCGCGCTTCCATTCTTTTTTCTTGTGCATGCATTCTTTTATTTACTTTTACTGTCTATGTCTCTTGTTATTTGTGTGCTGTAAGCGTAGTATATTAGGAATTATTATACCTAAGGTTGGCAACATTGGAAAATGTAATTAGGCTTCTGTCATGGCATCCTTCAATTAAAGTGCATATAAATTTTATAAGCAGTTTTTTTTTTTATTATAAAGAAAAGTTATTTAAGCGTGCAAAGCACATCTAATGTTTTACAACATTATAGTAAATAATGCAAATAAATTATCTATCTGTCTTCCATTTTCTATTTCAATCAATTTTTCAGTCCATTTCTAATTATTATTACAAATTTAAGAAAGAATATTTAAAATCTTCAAAATTAGTACTTGATTATACATTTTGACACATCAAATCTGCAACCTTTGGACGGTAAGATTCTGTAAGAATGTATTAAATCGCTCCTTGAGCAGGGTTGCCATTTGTTACAAATATAAGTTATATTTTATGTATATATATATATATATATATATATATATATATATTATTGTATACAGATATGTATGTATTTTGATTTTAATTATATGTGTTACTTTGTATATATGTCAACATATTTATTATTTCTTAATATAAATTGAATAAGAGGTTTCTTAGAATTACCTAATTGTCATCAAACAATCAAACAATTTTGTATATTACTATTAAACAATTATTTATTTATATTTTTGTCAAATCTTTAACTATATATAGATTTCGATAAATCGATTAAAAATTATTATTATTTAATATTATATTGTTACTTAATATATAAAAATAAAATAATGCTGAATAGAAACATCTATACTGTCTCCTCCTATTATTGTTCGCACACTGCCCGCTGGTAATCCATGCTGCTCTCCACTCAGGGTTTGCTGGTAGAGAACTCTTGCAGAGTTAAGCTCGCCTGTTGTACATCTTTATGTAATATATATTATATATTTGTAATTTTTTTTTTTGTGTACAATAAAGAATAAATAAATAAGTATTCAATTATTTGCAGAAATGTCGCTCAATTTCTCCGTGCGTCGGCAGAATGAACAAGGAACAACATCTTGACATCCCGCAGCAATTACAGCCTTAAAATCAATAATACAGCTCAAACTGTATTATTTTGTACTGTACGGTACAATTTTGAATAATTTTGTACTGTAGTGTACTAATTAAAATAAAAATATATATTCTATTTTGTACTGTACCTATTGTATTGTGTTTCGACTGCCAACTCTATAAACAATTTTGTATTCAGTTCTAATGAGTGTCAACTTTTGTATTTTTCCTCATTTCTGTTGTGATAAATAAATAAATATCGTTTCAAATTGTTATATTTTTATTTCAATATCCCTTTCAAACGTGAATGATACGGGCGCGAGTTGTAACTTTAAAAAATTCCAAAAGCGCGCGCGTTTCATTTTTACGCGCGAAGCTGAAATAACATGATAGTGAGATTCTAAACCGGCCAATAAGAAATCGTTTTAGCGGTTAGGTGGTGCAGTAGTCTCGTGCGCGCCGGCAAGATGGCTTGGCTCCAAAACACAAAAATATATTTAATCTGAAAGAAAAAAATCTTGGGTCTGAAAGGGATATCAAATACTATCCTTTATGTTCGTAACAACTAATATGTGATCGATTTAAATATTTTTTTATAAATGAAATTATAGCATTACTGGAGCACCACTTAATGATACTGAGGACATTCGGCGAGCCATGGATGACACCAGTCTCACAGCTTGACATTTTGCTTGGATTTTCTAAAGCAAAGGATTGAAAAAAAATTGACTGTAACAGATTCATAGAATATTTATCCAAGAAAAAAAAATCCATTCAGTTACAAATCCATTGATGGATATAATCATAGGCTTAGTAAAACGTGCTATGTAACATAGTTTTTTAAGACATTTAAGGATTAGAAGAAGATATCAATTTCAGAAATTCTTTAACAATATAAAATGCCAGTCAAACTTTTTACATTTATGACTTGGCAGCATAGTTTACGACCTTAACCAGGTCGTCAGAGAAACGAATGAACAAAAAAAATCGCAGAATGACAGCAATGAATGACAGACAAGACAGCTGACTGATAATATTGTTTATTTTGTTCAAAATTTTTAGGTTATTTATTTACCTACTTATCACTTGATTATAAACTTGCAATTTTAATTTAATTTATATTAATATCAAGTTGAATGAACAGTTTCAATTAATTAAAGATTACAGCGGTTAAAGCCATGATTACTTCAAAGGTAAGATGTATAAATGTTTTAGCTATAATTTTTACGAATTTCTATCAATGGATATTTAATATTCAAGATGATAAAGCATTTAAAATGTCCTTGACATAGTGATATTGGCCGATTGCATGTTTAAAACTTTGCTTTAAAGTAAATTTTGCCTTAAACTTTTTTTAAAGCGGAGCGCTGTAAATTTTTAAAGAAAGAATTATGCAATTATGACTTGCTGATATTTTTTTCACTTACCTATTTAGCTACTCTTTAATTATTAGCCGGTTATGTACCTAGAATATTCTAGAATTTTCCTTTAAACTATCTCAGACAGAATAGTCTAACAGAGAACCTGTGTTTGTATTTTTTTTATCTGCAACAAAGACTATAATATAACACAGAAGTTCACAATATATTTAAAATTTAAATAACTCTATATTTGAAAAACTACATACAATATTAATGAATGAGTATACTTTATTTGTTTATTTATTTATTTAAAGGAACACCAACAGCATATTGCATTATAACATATAGGTGTAACAAACATTAAATACAATACAATATTAATGCACACGCCTATTATAGGTATTCACAGCATTCACTTTAACATAATTATAGAGTGCAAGAAAATTAAGTAAATAATAAAAATAAACATGTAACCTAAGTTGTGAGCAATATTTGCATTATATAATATAGGGAATAAGCAAGCCGATTAATAAAATGTAACGATACAGTTGTATGAGTACAGTGAGGCGGTCTTATTGCTGAGAGCGATCTCTTCAAGACTACCTTAGGGTAATGGACTAATTGTTGTACAAGTAGGCATGATAATATTGTATAATGAAGCAAGTTTGGAATAACAGCTTAAAACATTAAGAAAAATTATTATAAATACTATGAAATTCATTTAAAACTAGCACTGCCATTCCTGAGGATTAAGTTATTACACCTCTGTACTGTGTAATGTTTATACATTATAAGTATTTTGCTCACTATCTATCTATTCTACTTAAAAGCTGCACTCTTGTAGATGAAGCTCTTACCATTCACTACGATTTTCAGCGAGTCCCATCACCTCTTGATACGACACGACACCAACTGCTTCCTTGATCTGCCTGATGTAACTATGCCTCGGTCCCTCTCAACTTCTCCTTTCTTTTACCTTACCTTCTATTATAATGTTCATAAGTTAGTTGTATCAAGTGTCCCAAAATATTTTCCATTTTGTCCTCAATAGTTCTAATAATTTGTCTCTACCTTGCCATTCTAAGTAGTATAAAAAAACAAAATTTTTCTTTACGTACTTGACCTTTTCAGTTGGAAGTGTTGGTAGATTTTGGGCAAAACCCTGAACAGAAGGTATTGGATAAAACACTTTCAGAGCTGAAGTCTCAGGACGGAGTTAAAGAGGTGAGCTGTACAAGTTACAAGTTTTTTTTTTTATTAAAAGATGGTTTTTTTCTTAAATTTCCCTTTCAGAAGAGAGGTCTTTTCACCTCACTTTTAAAAGATAATAATAGAATGATAATTTCTATTGGGCGAAATCCATATTTGGGAGAAGGGATTAATAGTAATGCGGACTACCAGTCCCATTGCTAGCAATATACCCTGGTCTGGTCAACCTCCACGTGCTCCTGGAAACCATCGTGCTGAATTCCTGGTATATATGGCGCTATCGGTATACGCTGATGGGGCACCAGTGAAGGGTGACAGGTGAGAATGATGGCAGGTCAGTTGTGAGTCAATTGAATAAGAATTAACCACTATAGTTTCCAAGGGGGAACCACGTGGAGGTCGACCTGATAGGGTGTATTGCTAGCAATGAGGCAACTAAATCTAATTACCTAACTATCCCTTTCCTCCCTGTCCATGGTACTGTTCATGTATATATGCAAAGGTTTTTATTAATGAATGATAATGGAATGGTAACCCCGCCTGCGTTAACGGTATACGCTGGTGGGGCACCAGTGAAGGGTGATAGGTGAGGATGAAAGCAGGTTAGTTAGCCCATCATGACGAGTATTCGTTTTCTTAGAATTGAACACAATAGTTTGTTTCTAGGAAGAACTGCGAGGAGGTCGACTTGACAGGGTGTGTTGCTAGCAATGGGGATACTAATCCCCATTATTACCAATCCCTTCTCTCCCCAGAAAGAAAGGAGAGGCCTATTCTATGCTGGGTTCACACGTCATTATTTAATTTTTAAATGTAATAAATATATGATTATTGATATATATATTGCAGGCACAATACAAAGACGGAGCCATTGTGGTTGAAACAACACTCCCCAATGCGGTCATACTGGACATCGTTGCCAGGACGTCGGGCAAACGGACTGTGTTGCAAGGATTCGGAGGTGCATAATGTAGACCAAATATTTTTATTTTCCTGGTACATTGATCTTTTTTTTTTTTTAATGGATGATAATGGAATGGTAACCCCACCCGCGCTATCGGTATACACCGGCGGGGAACCAGTGAAGGATGATAGGTGAGGATGAAGCAGGTCAGTTGGCCCATCGTGACGAATTCAACGAGAATTGTTCACGATGGTTTCCAGGAAAAATCACGTGGAGGTCGACCTAATGAGGCATATAGTTAGCAATGGGGCTGCCAAACTCCATTGCTAACAATCCCTTTCCCCCCACATTAATCATATTGTGGTCGGGGCATAGATTGGGCTACCCCTTCCTTTCCCGTGGGTGTTGTCTTAACGACTTAAGTCTTAACTAAGGGCACTTAATGGTCGAGGGTTCGGCAACAGAGTCCCACTTAAAAGGTCACTGAAGCCTAACTGCTCATCGATGCATCAGGTCTACCTTCACACGGTTTCCCCTGGAAATCATCACGGTTAATTGTGGAGTTCGCCATGATGGGCCAACTGACCTGTTTCTATCCTCACCTATCATTCCCTCGCTAGTGTATACCGTATACCGGCCAGCGTATGCTGTTAGCGCAGGCGAGATGACTGTGGTGAGATCACCAATGTTTATTATATACATATATCAACTTTTATAATATAATTGATTTTTTTATTAGTTAAAAACATACAGACAAACAAACACTTTGTTATATATATATATATATATATATATATATATATATTTATATCATGACGCTTGGTCACGGGGCTCACTCGCATTCTCATCGCTCTCACACTGACTCAGAAACCGGTCCTGAGGGAGACACTGTCAGGAAAACCCGTTTAGGTCGAAGGGTCAAATTCCCTATTATCGCCCTTAGGACGCTTCTGGAAGGGGGGTGATGTGGTGAGATAATGCTCACCAATATTTATTATATACATATATCGATTTTTATAATACAATTGAATTTTTTATTAGTTAAAAAAAAAACAAGCAGACAAACTAACATTTTGTTATATATATATATTTATATCACGACGCTTGGTCACGGCACTCGCTCGCAAGATGCGCAGGCGCTTTGTGATTGTCGGCTGCGCGCGCATACCGCGCACGGGCCAGCGACCAGAGAGTGTTTTGTTAACTTGGACAATTTAAAAATTTATTTGTTTTATTGTAAAATAATAATATTTTTTTTTAATAATTGATTAAATTTATTTACAAGATTAACCCTACTATCAATCCTACATTACCATTTTATTATCGTCCATTAAAGAAAAAGCAATAGAAATAGTGTATTTTGAATGAATTAAGTAGCCCCGAGGTTCATACATTTCTGTAATCCACAGACACCCAGTCAGCAGTGGCCATGGTGACAGGCGAGTCGTGCTGCCGTGGTAATGTGGTGGGAGTGGTGAGGTTCCAGCAGGCCGGCGACGGTGCCCTCATAGCCGACGGTAGCATCGACGGCCTGACCGCCGGCCCGCACGGTCTACACGTCCACGAAGTTGGAGACTTGAGTAAGGTTGGTGATTATCAGTACTGGTCATTGGGAGGAGGGAGGGGGTAGGTTTATTTTAACAACTTAGAATGGCAAACAAGCTGACGGCCCACCTGATGGAAAGTGGTAACCGTCGCCTATAGACATGAGCAGTACCATGGATATAACAGAGTATACTGTTTCGCCCATGATACCCCCCATGCGTTGCCATTCCTGAGGACTCAGGTGTTATTCCTCTGTACCCTGTAAATTCACGCCATATCCCACCCTTCAAACCGAAACACAGCCATGCAAACACAACTGCTTCACGGTTGAAACACGAATTGGACAGAGGTACACAAGCAATCGACTTTTGTACAAAGTCTCCCTCTTTTGCCTCAATTCAAGACTTACTACTATTTATTACTAACAACCCAACAGAGAATTAAGTGGACCCGAGATACATATATTTCTTAAGTAAATTCAAATTTAATTTATCTTTATTTAAATAGACTTGCTTACAAGCACTTTTAAATCGCCATTTTTATTTTAAATCTACTGCAGGGTTCGGAAAGTTCTTATCTGTTGAGAAGAGCCCGCGAGAAACTCAACAGTTACTCTTTTAAATCTCTGTTGACATTATGTGTATTTATTTAAATGTATTATGTCTAAAATTACATGGCCGTTAGAAGCCCGCGCATGATCGACTAACACAATGCACGTTTGTCATTCGAGTAATCGTTTAGTATGTAATAGGCTTTGTTCAATAAGTGTTTTTTAATAACAGTTTTAAATTTATTAAAAGTAGTACTTCATAAAATTTTATGTTTTCCCCCAGGGCTGCCAGTCGATAGGTGACCATTTTAACCCATACAACTCGCCGCACGGAGCTCCTGAGGATCCTAAAGAGTTGAGGCACGCTGGGGACCTGGGCAACATTGTTGCTGATGAGAATGGAAGGGCGACTTTTAGGATTCAGGATAATGTACTAAAAGTAAGTAGCGATAGATATGGTAGTTTCATAGTTTTTATACCAGAGGGAGACTTTGTACAAAAGTCGTTTGCTTGGCCACCTCTGTCCTATTCGTGTTTCTACCGTGAAGCAGTTGTGTTTGCATGGCTGTGTTTCGGTTTGAAGGGTGGGATATGGCGTGAATTTACTGGGTACAGAGGAATAACACCTGAGTCCTCAGGAATGACAACGCAGGGGGAGTATCATGGGCGAAACAGTATACTCTGTTATGTCCACGGTACTGCTCATGTCTATAGGCGACGGTTACCACTTTCCATCAGGTGGGCCGTCAGCTTGTTTGCCATACTAAGTTGTATAAAAAAATGCTGTATGCTGTATTTTATATATTCTTCTAAACAGATCTGGGACATCATCGGTAGATCAGTGGCAGTATCAGAGAGACAAGATGACTTCGGACGAGGTTCTTCGCCACATTCCAAGATTAATGGGGACAGCGGGAACCCGTGAGTGTTGATACATACATAGATAGATAATTTATTTGCATTACTTACATAACAACAGACAAACACTGTAGAAAGAGACAAAACAATACATATATAAAAAAATATATAGGTATATATATATATATATATATATATAAGAATAACATAATATATGCTCTCAATTTTTATCAACTGACCTCAAACAACTTCAAAAGGAAGGGAGATTTTCCAATTTGGTTGTATGTTTTTTATATTTATTGTCTCACAACCTATATATATATATATATATATATATATATATATATATATATATATATATATATAATAATAATAATAATAATATAAGCCTTTATTCAGACATTTTTTTTTAAAAAAACAACGTATTAACAACTTATTATTTAATTGCTGTTGTCTGTTTGCTTATTAGCAAAGGCCTCCTCCAACTGTCTCCAATGGTCTCTATTACTAGCAATTCTTGTCCAAATACACCCTGCTTCAGCCCTAATGTCATCTACCCATCTTCTATGTGGTCTTCCTCTTCTCCTTTTTTTGTCTTTCGTGTACCAAAACATTATCTTTTTACTCCATTTATCTCTCCCTCTAATTGTATGCCCTGCCCATTTCCATTTAAGTTTTTTAACTGTGACTGTAACATCTTTAGTTTTTATGTGTTTTATGTGTAAAACACATATATATATATATATATATATATAGGTTGTGAGGTTATTATATATATATATATATATATATATATATATATTTAGCAGTGGTCAGATAATGGCTGAAATAACGATGAATAAAGAATAATCTTGTTTAAAAAGTCTTTTGTATTTTACAGAGTCGCTTGCGGCGTCATCGCTCGCTCGGCGGGTGTGTTCCAAAATCCAAAACGCGTATGCGCGTGCGACGGCGTCGTGGTATGGGACGAGAGGGACAAACCTCTTGCGGGGAAGGGGCGGAGGGAGGGGAAAAAGTGCGGCGGCTGTTGCCAGAGGGACAATAAAGAGATGCGTGATGAAGTGGTCAAGCAGTGCTGTAAAGTTTAGACTAATTTTTTTTATACCACTGAGATGGCAAACAAGCATACGGCCCACCTGATGGCAAGTGATTAGGTATTGCATCGTCGTCATCATTTATCATTTCAGCCATTCTCCGTCCACTGCTGGACATAAGCCTCCCCCATAGATTGCCATAAAGAACGGTCCTGAGCCACCTGCATCCACCGACTCCCTGCAATGCATTTCAGGTCGTCTCTCCATCTAGTAGAGGGTCCTACACTGCGTTTACTCATACATGGTCGACACTCAAGAGCCTTTCTTCCCCATCGGTTGTCGATTCTTCGAGCTATGTGACCAGCCCATTGTCACTTCAGCTTGCTTACCCTTCAGGCTATGTCGGTTACTTTGGTTCTTTAGCGGATATCCTCGTTTCGGATTCTATCACGCAAAGAGACTCCGAGCATAGCCCGCTGAGTAGCTTGTAGCTTTTGCATTCGGGTAATCGTGTAGGACCATGTGTCGGTTCCATAACTCACACGCACTGGTTACCCCTTCTTTGCATACTGGTGGAAATTTCCATCATAACATTGAACGCCCAAAAATTATATAAAAGAACAAGTTCACTTTAACTTGATCGTGTCTGGATACCTTTTTAATGTCCATTGCAGAAAAACAAAACTTAGCTGTCAAATTTATTTCTTTAACCATTTTTCCTTTAATTTTGAACATGAATTATATCACCTTGATTTATTTCACCAATAAATTTTTTTTTTTGGTAATGAGTAATTATTGTGGGATTACTTCTGTGTTATTTTTAAATAAACCTTTTTATGGGAACAATGATTTGTTTTTTTTTTATTGGCAACTAAGTTTTACCCGCGACTTCGTCCTTGTGTTTCAACCGTGAAGCAGTTGTGTTTGCATGGCTGTGTTTCGGTTTGAAGGGTGGGATATGGCGTGAATTTACTGGGTACAGAGGAATAACACCTGAGTCCTCAGGAATGGCAACGCATGAGGGGTATCATAAGCGAAACAGTATGTCCACGGTACTGCTCATGTCTATAGGCGACGGTTACCACTTTTCATTAGGTGGGCCGTCAGCTTGTTTGCCATTCTAAGTTGTATAAAAAAAATTATATATCCCGTACGGGCAAACGCAGTGTATGACGGCCCCCTCTATTTCGTCCGACTCCAAAAAGAAGACAGTTCTAATTTCGGTTGTATTTTTCTATATCTGTTACCTCATCACACCGTCAGTGGTAAAACCGATTTGGAAAATTCTTTTTTAACTGTAAGGAAGAATCCCATAGAGATGTTATAAAAATGGGTTAAGTAGTTTAGTTTTTAAATCAAAACTGGCTTTGCCACAACTAAAGTTTTTTTTATACCACTGAGGTGGCAAACAAGTATACGGCCTACTCGATGGTAAGCGGTTACCTCAGCCTATGAACGCCTGCAATACGCGAGGTATTACGCGCGCGTTGCCGTTGTTTTTTTTTTGTATAAGAGAATTAAATTATTTTTAAATGCTACTAAAAAATCAACAATCTATCGTACCCTTAGATTATGTGGATAGAGCATCGATACTCAAAAACGGATCAACTTTTTGTCAGCTAATTGGCAAATTGACTCGTCTTTTTATCAGTGTTCTATATACTTACGCACACAATGTATCTTGACGTATTATTTAATAAACAAAATGAGTGTTTACGCATTAAAACGATGCAGAAATTATAAGACAAAATAAATATAGGAGTTATATATATATATATATATATATATATATTCCTTTAGAATCACTCGTAACTATTTATCACGTAAAATTGTATGAAAAACTTGACCTGGATTTCTCGGTTTGTATAGAGACACTCTATCTATATAATCTAAGGTCGTACCATACTACAATGCCAAGAAAATAATAAACTCCCATCAATTAAATAAACATATTGTTTCCTTTCTCTTTATTTGAGAATAGATGCCAATAAACAGAAATATTAATTGCTAACAAATAATAATTTTAGAAGCCTTAGTAATATTACTAAGCTCGTTTAAAAATAACAATAATGAAAAAATATTAAAGATTTACATAATGGAACTGAGACGGTTTACAAAAAATTATACATTGTAATACTATATTCAGAATTTGTTATGAGTATAATTCACGAAATGTAAAAAAAAGAAATAGTTTTTGTGAAATAACATTATGACATGTGATTATTACAATTATAAACTGTAATATAATGTAAGATTGTAATATTGTTATACTATTTTTAGAATTTGTTACGAATATAATTCACGGAATGTACAAATGGTGTGTAGTTTTGTAAAATAAAATTATTACATGTAATTATTACGATTATACATTGTAATATTGTAATACTAATTTTAGAATTTGTTACGAATATGATTCCATAAAATGTAGAAATATTAAATTGTTTGTAACAAACGAAACATTACATTTAGAAAATTATACGCTGCAACGGTGCTCGTGAATTATCATTTTTCTCATCCTTGTTTTCTTACATTATCATACGCTGCCTGTGATTGTGTTATTGTATTATTTCCACAAGTTTATTAGTTGTATACTTTTAATGAATAAAAATTATAGTTACACATGTTACAGAAAAAAAAAACAATAACAAAAAAGTTGGTAACCATAATTTATTTTTTGTTATAATTTGTTATTGTTATTGTTATGTAATATTACACATTTTCACGTCTGTATACAACAAATAATCTCGTATTCAAACAAAATACAATATTACAATAGCATATTTTAAATTTATACCCAGTTTTATAATAGCCTAGTATTTTATTTTAATCACATACATCTAAACTCCGTTACATTGATATATTGTATATACTTATCTAGATATGTCACAACGTGTAAAAACAGCATTGCACATTGAAAATATTACTTTACTCAATAATTTTTACATCCAAGCTTCACTACAAACTTAGATATCTACTAGTATGTACTAGCGACAGAAGTAAGCCAGAAATCTCATGTGTTTTTACACGTTACAATAGTAAATGAACTTAATTTGAGAAACAAATGCAGTCTACTGAAATACTATCTATGAAACTTAATATAATTGCAATAAATTATTGATTAATTATTTACAATGTACTTAGCCACTAAAAGTTTACTTTTGTATAATGCTTTATACATGTTTCATTCAGCATTAAGTGCGTAAGTATATATAATATTTATGCATGCTTTTGTAATATTATTATATAGCATATATATTTGAGTAAATGATAATGCCACAAAATTTGTACATATTTTATATCAGTTATCATATACTGAGATGCCACAATGATTTTATTAACGTGCATAATCCCTTTTTTCCTTGGGAGATAAAGCGTTAAAGTCTGAACGTGAGTTGTTACTCTGAAATGGTAAAAAAATAAATTAAAGAGACATACAAGGTGAAATTAAACTCATTAGAATCTTTGTAAAGAATATAATATCAGTAAAACTGTTCTTGTTTTATTTTTTAGAGACTAATGGACGACGAAGGAATACTAATACAAGGTCCATAAAGTTAGCATACATACATACATATACATATCTGTCACGCCTGTCTCCCATTAGGGTAGGCAGAAACAATGGAACGCCAAATGCTTCGATTCAAACAAACCTCTTTCGCTTCTTCCACATTCATCAATCTTTTCATACACGCTCGCCGGTTACGGGTACTTTTAAAGTTAGCATAGAGGTCTCTAAATGTCCAATTAAGGGGTTTAATGATTTTATTTTCACCTTGTATTTATATATATGTAATACGTTACTTATCTACTCTATTAACTTTATATCTAAGTATATATTGTTAAAATCTAGTACTATCATCTGTATTTTATATCCAACATCAAATGGCAGTGTTAAAGTGATAAACTAAAAGTAGAATGTTTTTTGGAACATTTTTTTTTAATTACGTTCTCAAGTATCTCGTCCTTTACAGATCCGAGTTTATTAAAATGAAATCAGTATCCTTATAACGATTACTCAGTGGAAAGTTATATTTATAAAATAATATTTAATAGTCATAAATTAAGTATATATGACATATGTATATGTATTTATAAATTAATATTCATAATGCCTCTATAAGAAACACTTTATGGTAATCCATTTGCGAATATGATTTCAACAAATAATTGGAAACAATGAACAAAAAGATTTTTCTTTCTCTATAGCTTATGTAAAGAAAAAATACAATATTATATTTCAAATCATGAATCTAGATTGTTACTTTTTTAAATCATGTTACTTCACTATTGTTTTTCTTTACACTTGTAAAGAAACTAATTTGGAATCATAAATCTACATTTTTTTTCAACGAAGATCCATATAAATTATGGATGAAACAATTTTCTCCTCCTTCTTTCGAAGAAACAATTGTAACTTATGACTAGCTGTACGGGCCATGCATTTTGCCTGTCCAGTTTTGGACGAGTTTTAAAACAACTAGATTTTTTTTTTTAAATTATGGCACCTCACTATGATCTTTTGGAAAATTACGTTTTGAACGGTAACGGGGCGACGATAAGCCTTTCACTACCTATTAAAGATTATGCTCATAAATAGATCTTACGGTTTGAAGCTAATAAGGATAAATCTACGGCCATCTATGTAAAACGCTAGGTATTGTGCGTGTTAGCTACGCTACGAGTACTTATTAATGCCTTTGTGATTTTAATTTGGATATTAAAAAGTAGGGAATATTTTTCAGTCGTCAAATTAGAAACTACTTGCTGAATAAAGGGAATAGTAAATATTTTTGTATATTCATACACAATATTTTACATTTTGTATGTTATTATACAATTCATATTCATACATAGTGAAATAAATTACAAATCATTAAAAAGATTAATCATTAAAAATTGTATGAACGAAATTTAAATTGTTTTTAATTTAAAAAACACGTATGTGTGACCGACATGTGTAAATTGTTTTAATTAGGAAAGAATAATTGAAATGAATTCATGATTATTGAAGATTACATACAATTATTTTGTTGCAGTCCAGAACCTTCTGTACATCTTTTCTATCTGTCCTTTGTGTTCTTGTAAAACTTTAACCATTTCTTTTATTTGAGACATTTACTTAAAAATGACTAAATAACACGAGAACAAAAATATTTATTCGAAATAAAGTGAGTAAAGATAAATAAATTACATTAACACAATTAGATGTGACAGATTCACAAAAAGAAAATAGTTATAGCAAGCTTTTGACACTTTATGGCTGCCATATTTAGTTCTATTTTAAATCTATTGACACCCCATTTATTAAAATCAGTCAAGTCATTAATGCTACATATTCCACCGTAGATCTGAACTTCCATTCATGCTCCCGTATAACATTATCTTCCATGCTTTTGGCAGACGGATAAAAGTATAAAATAGTTTAAATCGAAACTAGCTATGTCCCGCGGCTTTGCTCATTTTGAATTAGCACATAAAGTACCCTGTATGATAGTCTAGGGTATGTAATATCTGTTATTATAATTCAAATCCGTTCAGCCGTTGATGGACGAGTTTATATTATTTTAATTATGCATGTTCCATTAAAATTGGTCCGCCCATTGAGAGAAACTTGATACACAAATCAAAGACATTCCATACATAGTTTAATTCATGCATCTCAAATGCATTTACACTCAGAATTTCATAGTAAATTTCTCAAAACTACTGTTCAACCATCGAGACCATTATAGTGACCCAAAATCTGTCTAAAATATCATGGTATCATACCAATCTGACATCATACATCTTATAACCCATATCATCATCTATAGTAATCCAAGAGCCATCGAATTCACCTTATAATAAGGTAACACACTTATTCTTTTTTTCCAAAAAGATTCAAAACGTCTGATGTAAAGAAGGACGGGATGCAATTATAGGCGTATTTAAGCCGGATCTCCACTATAATGCTCTACATATTCTCGGTATGTACTCGCTCTACTTTCGATATTGTCAGTAACAGTTCGAGATTGATCGAAACGGAACTGGATTGTAGTGTAGATCCGGCATTAAGGATGGAGCCGGGTGAGTCGTGCTCACCCCAGAACTGTCTGGTACCCACCTCAGGATGCATGGTACATATGAACTATAAACATGGACATCACTATGTACTCTTCATATACCCTCATATCAATGGTACCCTTCATTCGTTTCCATTCCTGAGGATTACGATGTTTAAGGGTACATATGCACCTAGTTTTATGGGACCAGACCTCCATGAAAAATAATCTTAAATACGCCAATAGAGGCAATAGTAAAGAGAAATAGAGCCCCTTTACTAGCAATATGTCCTATCAAATCTCCATAGAGTCCCACTGGAAACCATTGTGGTTAATTCCAGAATTCATCACGTTAGGCCACCTGACCTGACCTCTCCATAGTCTGTCACTGGAACCCCACCTGCATAAACCAATAACGCAAGCGGGGTTACCATTCCATTTTCATCCATTTAAAGACCTGCTGTAATGGTTCTTTCAGATAACACCACAGTATATAACATCAATACCTCACAACATTATATCACCGTTGCTGCTATGTGATATGAATGAGTCTTAAACATTACATATTTCGTCTCGTAACAGTTGACATCAACTTTTACATTTCTTTGTATTTGATATTTTCTTTTACGTATGTAAATAATTCAACATTATTTGAAAGCAAACACACACATAGGTATATTACGAATTGTATAGACTCTCTGAAATTAATACAAGTCTTGTGAAATACGATTTGAAGGGTATACTTAATACAAGAATTCACTTGAAGCATATATAAATCTTCCCATTGTTTTTCTTTAACGTTACACACTCATAAAGCACATAAATTCCTATAGTTATCCATTCAAATATTAGAAATGCCGATCTTCAATTATAAAAAATATTTATTATGTGAAAAATAAATATAATTATTAAATATGGATAGTTCCTACCCAGGATAGTCATAACCATCCATACTAGCATTTAAATTATAAAAAAATGACGCATCGTGATCGAAAGATACATAGACTCACACACAGAGAAATAAATAACTTAATAATCTTTATATAAAACTTAGTTTTAACTCATTTTGATAACATTAATTTTATATTTATACCACTTTTTTCTCCACAGAACATTACAAGCTACAACTAAAGGGCTACTATTAAAATTATAAAGTTACATAAAAAATATCTAACAATTATTTGGTCACAACGTTTAAATTTTTTATAATGAAATAATAAATTAAGACAACGCTATACCTAAAAGAGATTGACTCTATACTTATAAGAGAGGTCTCATCTCGCATTCTTACCATTTGTCATGTTCGCCATTGTCCATTTTTTATATTTTTAATGTTTTTTAGTTTGCTGTCAATCTTTGCTTTTATTTATAACTTAATGTGGTTTATATATGCATATTTCGTTACGAGGATCCAATTTACCAGTTGGTAATTCAACAGGTCTTCAAACTTTGAACTAATTACTTACTACATCAACTCGTATAATGTAAAATGTATGTTTTTCACATAAAAATACACCCGATCACTCCTTTTTTAATATGACACTCTTACGTCATAAAATTAATTACCAAAGTTGAAATATTTCGTTCGACTTAAAACGCAAAAATGCGTCAAAAATTTCCAATTGACTCATTCCTTTAAGTTAATATACAGTGGATACCATTTCAACATTGTATTATTCATCCACAATAACACAACATCCGTTTAACATCCATTATTTTGATAAACTTGTGTTATATATTTCCAAAAAGTTGACACAATCCTCCTTTGAACGCATCTAATTCAATTATTAGGCTCTACATTTAAAAATGTGGCACAATTGTTTTAGTGCGTTACATCCTAACATAACAATCCTAACAATGTCTCCCTGATATTTCAAATCGCAATATATTCCCCACCACTATATATTTCCCAAGAATTTAATAGAAGAGACATTACATTTTATGACAAGACAACCATCGTGAATAATCCTCAAAATTTACATATTTTATTATTATAAATCGCAAGTATTCAGTTACTTTACACCTTTTTCGCTTGCAGTACGACAATCATGCATTATAAAGAAATCTACTAGTGATAATATAATACTGAAGTTAAAGCAATCCTTGAACTTAAGACGAAGAGACTTCAGAATCGATTTATTTATTTATTATAAAAATGCGTTCGTTTGTTTTTACATAATATAACAAACATTGATTAAAACGCATGAAAGCCTTTCACGTTACATATAGCTTTTAAACTCAATTATGAACGTTATAATTTTTTTTAAAGATAACTATTTTTAGTTAAAAATGTTTTTTTACACATTTTAATTGTGTAAAAGACAAAAACAATCATATTCCATAAAACGAAACGGTCTTTAACCAATTCGTAAAATTACATGTTGTAATAACAATTGTAATATTACATGTTATAATTAACAATTGTAATATTTAAAATCATAATTAACAATTGTTATAATATATTATGAGAATAACAATTGTAATTATGTTACATTTTGGTAAATAACAATCATAATATTACATGTTATAATTATCAATGGTAATATAACATGTTATAATTAACAATTGTTATATTACATATCATTAATAACAATTGTAATATGACATGTAATTAAAGATTGTAATGTTACATTTCAGAATTATAGACTGTAACATTACACATTGTAAATATTGATAATTATCTACCCGTTCAATCTACAGACGAGTCGGAGTCTTCGTTTTTGGTACAGATGTGGAATGCAATCACCGGAATCGAACCTAACACCATACAAGATCCCATACCGTAAAAACACCAAGAGTAACCCCCTGTGACGTCACGCACCAGCCCTGTAATACATTAAAACATAAAATATATTTTCTCTTATAGAAACTTAGAATGACAAATAAGCTGACGATCCACCTGATGGAAAGTGGTAACCGTCGCCTATAGACATGAGCAGTACCATGAACATAACAGAGTATACTGTTTCGCCCATGATACCCCCCATGCGTTGCCATTTCTGAGGACTCAGGTGTTATTCCTCTGTACCCCATAAGTTCATTACCAATTTAAAATTAAAAGTACTAAGTAGCATCCTCTTAATAGTGTTCTACCTATAAAATTAAGAGTGTTTACAACTTGCTTCTGCTATGTGGTCTCGGTATAGAATGGGCCACCCTTCCTGTCCCGTGGGTGTTGTAAGAGGCGACTAAGGAAGACCGCCCTCGCCCTCCCTTAGTCGCCTGCCTATCCCTATGGGCAGCAGCGTCTTTCTTAAAACATCACCAAAGCCTAACTGCGGATGTCAATCCGCCTTCCAGGCGTAGCAACTACTAGCAAAACGCCACTTATAAGGGCGACTTACGTTCAACACTGGACAGTTAAATATGATGGTAATAATGAATTTTATGGAGACTGCAAAGGACTAGTCACGTAATTGGGTGAACCGACAACCGATGGGGAAGAAAGCTTCTTGAGTGGCGTCCCCACATTAGATGGAGTGACGACCTCAAATGCATTGGAGTCAGTGAATGCGGGTGGTTCAGGACCGTTTCTTATGGCAGTCTATGGGGAAGGCCTATGTTCAGCAATGGACAGATAACAACTGATGATGATTCTATATAGGTATAAAATTTAACATTAAATGTTATCTTATATTCGCATATGGGGTCAGCTAAGCCGTTGCACGTCGACCCATCGGGATCTGTTGTGCTTCCCCCTGCCTTATACCATTATTTCGTAGATCCTATGTGTTACCTTAACGATATCCCGCGGTTTAAGATTAAACGGACAACATTAAACGTTAAATTGCCTACCAGCTGTGGGTGGTACGGAGACAGCCGCAATGCTCTGGAACATTCTGACGAGTCCGTACGACGACGCGATCCGAGCTGTGCCGAACGCGTCCGCCAGAAGCACAGGTACCAGCAAGAACCAGCATCCCAGGCAGAGGCCGTATGCACCTGCACATATACATTATACCCGACTTTAAAAAGGAGGTTCTAATGGATGAAGGTAATGGTAACACCGCCTGCGCTATCGGTATACGCTGGTGGAGCAACAGTGAGGGATGATAGGCGAGGATGAAAGCAGGTCAGATGGCCCAAAGTCGTGACAAATTCCACACACAAAAACACACACACACTACGTACATCTGTGTATATGTAAAATTAAAATCTGAATTTTTTTTGTGTTTTCAAACTAACTCCCTGCAGAAACACAGTCGGCCGGGGTTCAGGGCTCCAGGGGAAGAAACCAGGCTATTATTACTATTACATAAATATTATGAGACAAAAACAATCGTATTCCATATAACGAAACGGTCTTTAACCAATTCGTAAAATTACATGTTGTAATAACAATTGTAATATTACATGTTGTAATAACAAATGTAATATTACATGTTGTAATAACAATTGTAATATTACATGTTATAATTAACAATTGTAATATTACATGTTATAATTAACAATTGTAATATTACATGTTATAATTAACAATTGTAATATTTAAAATCATAATTAACAATTGTTATAATACATTATGAGAATAACAATTGTAATTATGTTACATTTTGATAAATAACAATCATAATATTACATGTTTATTATTACGCATTACTATTACATAGATATAATAATAATATTATAAGTTGAAAATGTGGGAAACCATGAATTACCTGATGCAATGGCTAACGACCACCATGATGTTAAACTGGGCAGGGTGAGTACCGCTATACCGGCCACCAGAATACTGAAAATTATAAAGACCTATTGAAGTGAGATTTTTACAATTTTAGAACGCGCTCCCTGATACCACCAAGATACCTCCGTTTAAACTGTCGTTCAAAAGAAGGTTCGTGTTACTACTATTAAACTTCAAAATTATATAATTTCCGAAACAAACTAACTAAACTATTGGCGTTTTGCCTTCTTTAAAAACGACTTCAAAAGAGGAGGAGGTTCTCAGTTCGGTTGTATTTTTTTTTATTTATATTTAAAAAAAAGCAACAGCTGTGTTTCTTGCCCGTTATTGTCTGCAGAAATTGCATTCCGAACTAAGTTTATAAAAAAAAAACTATTCATAAATGTTTGTTATTAAATTTTAGTTTAAAAAAAAATATTTATTATTATGTATGTTTGTTACCTCATAACTCAGTCAGTTGTAAACTGATCTGTGGAATTCTTATTTTACATAAAAAGAATTTCATAGACATGTTTTTTTTTCTATACAACTCAGAATGGCAAACAAGCTGACGGTCCACCTGATGGAAAGAGGTAACCGTCGCCTATACACATGCGCAGTACCATGGACATAACAGAGTATACTGTTTGGCCCATGATACCCCCCATGCGTTGCCATTCCTGAGGACTCAGGTATTATTCCTCTGTACCCAGTAAATTCACGCCATATCTCACCCTTCAAACCGAAACACAGCCATCCAAACACAACTGCTTCACGGTAGAAACACGAATGGGACCTCTACCCAAGCAATCGACTTTTGTACAGTCTCCCTCATTTTATCAAAATCAGTTATGTAATTTTTTAAACAAAACAACAGGTTTTGCTACAATTGAAGTTAGATTTTTTGTAAATTGTATTACAATATAAATTATTTTTACAATACTTAGTAATACAAGATTACCTGACTATGTACGCCTTTCTTCTGCAAAATAGATGCAAATCACACAAATATCCTAGGCCGAGCCGCCCGCAGAGGTCCAGCACTGCGCTGATGGCTACCAGGTGACCTGCAAAGGGAAATGAAATGAATTAAAAAAATATTTTATGACATTTTCAAAAACAACCTTTTATAATGCACTAGCTTTTGCCCGCGACTTCGCTCGTGTGTGTATTTCTGGCGGATTTTGTTTTGAATCAAGAGCCAAAAACATCGATGAACGACGACATATTTCGTGGACACATTAAATTCATCGACAAAGTCTTAAGTAGACACATTAGATTTTTAAACTATCATCAAACAACACACTGGTAGACAATAAAATATTTTGTAGACAGATTAGATTTTAGAAGCGGCATGGCATCGTCTCACTCACCCGCAGCCGACTTGCTATGCCCCACAGCAACAGTGTATGCCGGCAAGTAGTACAACGCATACGGCGAGCCGCAAGACATCAAGGCTACGGACGCGCACAGTAGACCAAACCGCCACGACTTCAGCAAAGAAACGTCCAAATATCTGAAACGGAAAAGTCGAATATTTAAAAAAAATATAATATGCATTTTTAAAAATACATCATCATTCTACCAGCCTTTAACTGTCCACTGCTGAACATGAGCCTCCCCCTTGGGGGGTTCTGCCAGTAGTTGCCACGCTTGGCAGGCGGATTGGCAACCGCAGTCATACAATACTCAGTAGGAGGGAAGGGATTGTTAGTAATGCGGGCTACCAGTCCAATTGCTAGCAGTATATATATATATAATATATATAATACCCTGTCAGGTCGACCTCCACGCGGTTTCCCCTGGAAACCATCGTGCTAAATTCCAGATGTATTCATCACGATGGGCTAACTGACCACCCGTTTGGGGGGGTTTTGCCAGTAGTTGCCACGATGTTTTGAAGGGTCGCCTTAGTCCTTAGGCGCCTCTTACGACACCCACGGGAAAGGAAGGGGTGGCCTATTCTACGCCGGGACCATACGACCCAAGGATTAGTAATAAAGACTAAAAACACCATTGCTAGCAATATAACAGGTCTACCTGTTACCAGCTATTAGTCGTTTGCTTGGGTACCTCTGTCTCATTCGTGTTTCAACCGTGAAGCAGTTGTGTTTGCATGGCTGTGTTTCGGTTTGAAGGGTGAGATATGACGTGAATTCACAGGGTACAGAGGAATAACACCTGAGTCCTCAGGATTGGCAACGCGTGGGGGGTATCATGGGCGAAACAGTATACTCTGTTATGTCCACGGTACTGCTCATGTCTATAGGCGACGGTTACCACTTCCCATCAGGTGGGCCGTCAGCTTGTTTGCCATTCTAAGTTGTATAAAAAAAACCTACCGCAAGTACCAGTCTCTCGCAAAATTGGTCTTTGCATCAAATTGTACCTCAAGTTGTCACTTTATACTCGCTTTTGTGAAGAGAAAAATAAACCATTCATTCATTCATTCATATTAATATTTAGCTGTGGTCAATTAGCAGTCGGGAGTTTGGATGATGTAAAAGTACCTGGAAATCTTCTCGACGCATCCTCTCTTCTCTTCTTTCTGCTCGTTGTTGTCCTCCTTCTGTATCTCCTGGTCTTGCTTCACTATAACCGGCTCCGATAACTTGTTCTGCATCAAACGGTGTGGCAATGGAGGTCTTATATATAGAGATCTGAAAATAAGTCATGATCATCAGTCATCACTATAGCTACCTCATGATTCTGTCAACAAGAGGTTACTTCAGGGTCGGAGAGACTACCAGAGGTATTACGCGCGCGGTACCTCTGTTCCATTCGTGTTTCTAACGTGAAGCAGTTGTGTTTGCATGACTGTGTTTCGGATTGAAGGGTGCGATATGGCAGTGAATTTACTGGGTACAGAGGAATAACACCCGAGTCCTCAGGAATGGCAACGCATGAGGGGTATCATGAGCGGAACAGTATACTCTATTATGTCCATGGTACTGCTCATGTCTGTAGGCGACGGTTGCCACTTTCCAGTCGTCAGCTTGTTTGCCATTATAAGTAGTATAAAAAAACTTTCCCTGAGATCTTGAAAGTTAAACCTTATGACCTACTCACCGGCTGATCTTCCTTCTACTGGATTTGTAAACGCAAGTGCTGTCCGTGGACAAATCTTCGACTGAATGCAAGATTGACGAGGAACGCGTCGGCCGCAGGCGGAGGCGGGCCACTTCCTTTGGTAATCCTGTTAAATAATATAAAAAAAATATGTAACACCATCCGATGTTCAGTGAAAGAAGCAAAATTAAAAATACGTAATTGGCTGCAATCTCTAACTTATACAGAGGATCTAATAAAACCTATTGTCTAAAATATTTATTGAAATGTAAGCATACTATATTTTCATATCACACACACACACACACACACACACACACACACACACACACACACACACACACACACGTACGCATACATACACACACACACATACACGCACGTACACGCATATACTTACACACACGCACGCGCGCTCACGCACACACACACGCGCTCTCGCACACACACACGCGCTCTCGCACACACACACGCGCTCTCACACACACGCACACATACGCACGCTCACGCACGCACGCACGCACGCACGCACGCACGCACACGCACACGCGCGCGCACACACACACACACATACACACACACACACATATATGCACGCACAGACACGGACACACGCACACGCACACACACTCACACATACGCATACACACACACTCACAAACTATTACAAATTATTATGTATGTATTAATATTAAAATTATACCTATACAATGACTGTAACAGGAATATTAAATTTGTGAAAAAGTGTATATAATTTAATAGATTCCCCAGATACATGCTCGACCCATATGGGGACTATAGTTAGCAATTTATTATTATTTTATTATAACTATTTTTAAATAACAGAAAATAATTAATCTCAGAATTAGTGAAAAAATTAATAGGAAAAAAAAGGAAAACAAACTTAAAGAAGTGTTAACGAAATCCAGTCCGTAAAAACTAGTGTTAGTATTAACTACTGGGGTCATAGAATGTCAATAAGAACAGTTAAAAATTGTGTCTCACAAAAATAAATCTACATATCAAACAAATCAAAAACATATCATATACCAGAGGGAGACTTTGTACAAAAGTCGATTGCTTGGGTACCTCTGTCCCATTCGTGTTTCTACCGTGAAGCAGTTGTGTTTTCATGGCTGTATTTCGGTTCGAAGGGTGGGATATAGCGTGAATTTACAGGGTACAGAGGAATAACACCCGAGTCCTTAGGAATGGCAACGCATGCGGGGTATCATGGGCGAAACAGTATACTCTGTTACGTCCACGGTACCGCTCATGTCTATGGGCGACGGTTACCACTTTCCATCAGGTGGGCCGTCAGCTTGTTTGCCATTCTAAGTTGTATAAAAAAAAATATCAACTGTCAACCACTGACGGCCTATGGTTAGCAGTGGAAGGAACCCATATAAAAAATAATACTATACGATAGTACTCACCAACGACTCCAAGGACATCCAGACCCTCAGAATCTTCAGAGTCTGAGTGCTGAGTTTGCAGAGGTGGTCGTGCTACCTGTAACATATTCAAATTAAGTGAAAACACCTGAGTCCTCAGGAATGGCAACGCATGGGGGGTATTATGGGCGAAACAGTATACTCTGTTATGTCCACGGTACTGCTCATGTCTATAGGCGACTGTTACCACTTTCCATCAGGTGGGCCGTCAGCTTGTTTGCCATTCTAAGTTGTATAAAAAAAAAAAGTGAAAATACTATCGATTTAGGCAGAGATATTTTAAAACAACTTAGAATGGCAAACAAGCTGGCTGTCCACCTGATGGAAGGTGGTAACTGTCGCCTATAGACATGAATATGAATTAACCCTTCATGCGTTGGGGAGGAAGGGATTGTTAGTAATGCGGAGTATCAGTCCCATTGCTAGCAATATACCCTGGTCTGGTCATCCTCCACGTGGTCCAACCTGTAAACCGAGGGGGGAAGGGTTTGACAGTAAAGCAGACTATTATCGTATTGCTAACAATATCTGCTTGGGAGGAAAAGGGAATGTTGGTAATGGGGTCAAATAGTCCCATTACTAGCAATACGCCCTGTCAGGTCGATCTCCACGTGGTTCCCCCTGGAAACCATCGTGAACAATTCTCGTTGAATTCGTCACGATGGGCTAACCGACCTGCTTCATCCTCATCTATCATCTCTCACTGGTGACCCGCCGGTGTATACCGATAGCGCAGGCGGGGTTACCATTCCATTATCACCCACTGAAAACAACTGACCTGTCTTTTCATTGTCACCTATCATCTCTCACTGGTGCCCCGCCGGTGTATACCGGTAGCGCAGGCGGGGTTAACATTCCATTATCACCCATTAAAATAAAACACTTACCTCTATTAAACTTGGATGAATAATCTCAGTTATCAAATTAGATCTCTTGGCTTCCTCGTTCAGAAGTACATTCTTTTGATTCAACGCCATTTCGGAGTCCGGTTGGAACAAACTCTGCAGACGGTTGTCTTTGGTTGGGTCGGTTTTACCTAAAAAAGGAAAAAAAAATATGTACAATATTTCACTAAGAACAAGGAATTACATAGAAGGAATGATAAAATAAAAACTGTATATCATACGGTTGCCTCCTTTCTTCCTATGCAAATATAATTAGTAAAAAGAGGACGCAAGATACAGCATCAGTTGTTATTCTTCTCAATTCATAGCAGGCTAATGTATAGAAAATGTTATACGGCCATATAACCCTACCAAATTCAGATACAACCTGCTTGCATACTTTCTACATAAACTGTATCGAATATATAATCTAGTAATGTATGTTAACATTTGTCATTGACAAATAATGACATATCAAACATTTTCTATACACTAGCCTGCTATGAATTGAGAAAAATAGCAACTGATGGTGTTTTTTTTTTAAATTACAACTATTTTTAAATTACAGGACAGACATGAGTTTACATAGTAATTTATCTGGCCGCAAAACACGACAGATATGGATTTTCATACAACTATTGCCGGCCGCTGCCCGCATGTATCTGGCCAGTACGGCAATTTTGATTTATCTTGAAGAAGATTGTCAAAATAATGCTCACATTTCCAAGCATGTTTGAGAAAAATATATTTACAAAACTATTGCTGTCAAGTTACGAGTATTTAAAAAAATATACCAAGTTTTTAGAAAAACTGGTGGTGATGGTTTGGCCAGCAATTTTACGAGACGGAAACAGTTAAGGAAGGTCTTTGCACAGCAGCGGAATATCATAGACTGCGCTTGATTGATTGTGCAAAGCTCGGGCATAGACAAGAATTGCAGCTTACCTTCCTGTATGTCGTGGAGTAAGGTGGTATTCTCCGTGGTGGTGGTGGTGGCAGGCGTCGAGCCCCGCTCCCTGATGGTGGGCGGTGGTCGGTACAACGTGGCTGACACACAGACATGCAGCATACCACCGCCTGCAAATAATTTGGCTACTCTTCAGTCCAAGATGATTTAAAGTAACTCAAATTTTTAATAATAGTATTATATTTGTAGAAACATACTTTTTTTAAATGGATTATAATGAAATGGTAACCCCGTCCGCGCTATCGGTGTACACTGGCAGGGCACCAGTGAAGGGTGATCGATGAGAATGAAAACAGGCCAGTTAGCCCATCATGATGAATTCATCAGGAATTAACCATGATAGTTTCCAGGGGGAACCGCGTGGAGGTGGACCTGGTTGGGTATATTGCTAGCAATGGGATTCTCAGTCTCCATTACTAACAATCCCTTTCCCTTCAGCTACAGTAGCTAGCTGGTACCAAGGCTACTGTAGCTAGGTAGAGAGAGATTTGGGATAAATTATTACTTAATATTCCATTCTAAACCTTTCTCGCCAACTATCGAACAATCTAGAACTAGCTCACCCAGCAATAACACCGTTCCATGTAAGCCGTACATATCCACTAGTTTCTCTATAAGCATCGGAAATACGAAGCTTCCGGCAGCCGTCCCGCTCACACATATACCGTTGGCCAGTGCCCTGAAAAGAGACAGAGACAAAAGTAAATTAAAATCGCGCTACAACCTAGTTGTTCTATGTTCAGGAAAATATATACTTTGAAACTTTTGTATAATAATAATCAATGTTTTCCGATTTTAATAATTCTTTTTGTAACTATCGCTCGTTTTAGGCTATTGCCTTGTGGAACGTTCTGGAGCAAAATCTTTAAATGTTTTCCTAATTAGAATTATCATGTGCCCCAGATTTCCATAATGGAATAAAATAAATAAATAGATACTCTTTACTGTTCCCTCCATAAGATTACAATAGTAAACTTATTATAGATACAAACAATTACAAGAAATAATCACAGTGAGAAAACAATGGGCGACCTTATCGCTAAGAGCGATCTCTTCCAGGCAACCTTTGGATGGAGAGCAGTAATAAGATTAGACTTCGAACTCATATCAGTCTTTAACTGTCCACTGATGAACAGAAGCCTCCCCCTTTGGGGGGTTTTGCCAGTAGTTTCTACACTTTGCAGGCAAATTGGCAACAGCAATCAGGCTTTAGACATGTTTTAAAAGGGACGCTGCTGCCCATCCCTCGCCTTCCCTTAGTCGCCTCTTACGACACCCACGGGAAAGGAAGAGATGGTCTATTCTACGCCGGGACCATACGCCCAAATAAAAATACCGTGGTCAAAAACTTAAAACAAACATTTATTCATTGCACATCAGACTTGCATCAACAGAAGTATTACGCGCCGCGCCGCCATCTCTCTTGCCGTAAAGGTCTGGAGTTAAAGTACTCAGTAATGTCATCGCCATATTTCGCCCTTCGCGCCGGATCACGACGCTCGAGTTAACTTGGCAGAAGGAGTAGGTGAGAGGTAGAAGTAACAGAGACTACTTTGTACAAGCTTCATGATGGGGAAGAAGGGATTAGTAATGCGGATTACCACTCCCATTGCTAAGAATATACCCTAACAGGTCGACCTCCCCGCGATCCCCCCTGGAATGTATCGTGCTAAATTCCAAGTGTATTCATCACCTGCCTCTTCATTCTCACATATCATGGTCACATCACTGGTGCCTTGCTAGTATATACCGTCAGCGCAGGCGGGATTACCATCCCATTATCGTCCATCAAAAAATAGCTTCATGATGGACAATCAACGACTTACCTGTGCTTATCGAAGTACTGGGAGACTATAACTATCCCTGGTGTTGTAGACAGCCCACCGCCAATTCCTGGAGACATAAATTTATGTCACTAATTGTTGCCTATTTCGTAAAAGCCCTTATATGGTCATATAGCAACCCATAAAGCGGCCAGTCGTTTTTTTTACAACACAGGGGGCAAACGAGCATGCAGCTCACCTGATGGTAAATGACTACCGCCGCCCATGGTCACCCACAACACCAACGGCATTGCAGGTGTGCTGCCGACCTTTTAAAAGGGAATATGCTCTTTTCTTGAAGGTTACGTTGTCGTATCGGTTCGGAAATACTGCTGCTGGAGATTGATTCTAAAGAGTGGTTGCGCGTGGAAGAAAGTGCCTTGAAAAACGCACGGTGGAGGACCGCCACTCGTCCAGATGGTTGGGATGAAATTTTAGTTTATAGCGGGTTGTACGATGGTGAAAATCAGCAGCAGGTATCAATCCGAACAATTCCTATAAAACTATAAGCCAAATCCTTTAGTAATATGGATAAAACCATATTAAGCCGACCACAAATAATAATTAGGATAAGGGTAGGGAGGTAATGATGATAGCAACCCATTCTGTATCCAAAGAAATGTCCATAAATAGGAAAAAACTTTGTTTTTTATGTGATTTAGAATACAAACAACCTGACGGCCCACCTGATGGAAAGTGGTAGCCGTCGCCTATAGACATGATCAGTACCATGGACTTAACAGAGTATACTGTTTCGCCCATGATACCTCCCAATGCGTTGCCATTCCTGAGGACTCAGGTGTTATTCCTCTGTACCCAGTAAATTCACGCCATATCCCACCCTTCGAACCGAAACACAGCCATGCAAACACAACCGCTTTACGGTTAAAACACGAATAGGACAGAGGTAATCGAGCAAACGACTTTTGTACAAAGTCTCCCTCTGGTAAAATGATACCCCCCCCCATGCATTGCCTTTCCTCATGACTAAGGTGTTGTTCCACTCACCTGTCATCACCCCGAAACTCAGGAGCAGGTGGAGTAGCCCAGTGCTGAAGTAGGAGAGGGCCAGCCCAGTCGCACAGAATAGGCCACCAATGAACACCACCAGCCGACACGAGTACTTCTCACACAGGGCTGATGATAGCGGAGCTGGTACAAAGAGACATCATCTCCAAAAGTTGTAGTTATAAACTACTCTGACTAGGGGGAAAGAGATTGTAAGGGTTGTTTTATGGGTGAAAATGGAATGGTAACCCCGCCTGCGCTAACGGGATACGCTGGCGGAGCACCAGTGAAGGGTGATAGATGAGAATGAAAACAGGCCAGTTAGTCCATCACGATGAATTCAGAAGAAATTAACCATGATAGTTTCCAGGGGGAACCGCGAGGAGGTCGACCTGTTTGGGTATATTGCTAGCAATGGGATTCTCAGTCTCTATCACTAACAATCCCTGTCCTCCCGATTGTAAGGGTTAAAGAAAAAAAGACATAGATGTATACATGTGACACCTGAGCCTTGGTCTATTGACATACAGATTAAACCATAAACTCGGGGGGAAGGGATTGTTAGTAATGATATCTTAAAAGCCCCATTGCTAGCAATATATCTAATTTAATCGATCCTTCACGGGGTTTCCCGTGGAAGCCATATCGGTTAATTCTTGTCGAATTTGTTACGGTAAGCTAACTGATTGACTTTTCTCCTTACTTGTCACCCGTCACTGGTGCCCAGCCAGTGTATACCAATAGCACAGGCAAGGTTACCGTTCTTTTCACTCATTAGAAAAAATTTAGACCCCATTTCCAACAATACCAACTGAACTACCAGTCCCAATGCTAGCAATATGCCCAGGTCTACCCATTGCTAGCAATATGTCAGGTCAACCTCGACATAGTTTCCCTGGAAACCATCGTGCTGAATTCCAGGTGTATTCATCACGATGGGCGAACTGACCTGCCTTTTCATTCTCACTTATCACCCCTCACTGGTACCCCGCCAGCATATACCTATAGCGCAAGCGGAGTTGCCATTCCTTTATCACTCATTAAAAAAAATTCCACCCAATTTTTTTTATACCACTGAGGTGGCAAACAAGCATACGACCCACCGGGAAATAAGTGGTTACCATAGCCTATGAACACCTGCAATACCAGAGGTATTACGCGCGCGTTGCCGACCCTGAAGAAACCTTTTTACCCCCTTTTTGAAGAACCCCAAGCTGTAGTCTCTTGGGAAAACCTCGGCAGGAAGCTCATTCCATAACCTGAGTGTTCGTGGGAGGAAACAAGCAAATTTTTAAGCAACACTCACCAAGAGCTAAGCACAACGTTGACAACGCAGCCGGTATCCAAGAGGCAACCGACTCGGACGAGTCCGGGAACGTTTCCATTATCTCCACGTAAAGCACACCGTAAGACTTGAACAGACCAGCCACCCAGAACTGCACCATGAAAGCCCCGAAGACCACAACCCAGCCGTAACCCCCGTCTGGGGGATTGGTGATACTGAAACGAAAAAAATTAGACACTTCAGCGAGACTTTCGAAGTGTCATTTTTTGCACTTATTAACTCATTACTCCTCTCCATCCAAAGGTTGGCTGCAAGAGATCGCTCTTAGCGATAAGGTCGCCCATTGTTTTCTCATTGTGATTATTTCTTGTAATATTTCTTTTTAAATCTACTGCAGGGTACGGAAAGTTGTTATCTGTTGTGAAGAGCCCGCGAGAAACTCAACAGTTACTCTTTTAAATCTCTGTTAACATTATGTGTATTTATTTAAATGTACTGTCTAAAATTACATGGTCGTTAGAAGCCCGCGCATGATCGACTAACACCATGCACGCTTGTCGTTCAAGTAATCGTTTAGTGTGTAATAGGCTTTGTTCAATAAATGTTTTTTAATAACAGTTTCAAATTTATTAAAAGGTAGATCCAAAATATCTTTCGGTATCTTATTGTAACATTTAATGCCCATTCCCATAAAAGACGTATTAACTTTTTTAAACGTTACTTCGGAACAGAAAGTTCGTATCTGCATCTAGAGCAGGGATTCCCAAACTTATATATATTCTTTATTGCACTTGTAAGTTACATATAAAATAATGTATTTATAAATATTGTGAGCAAGGGTGGACTTATCTCTGACAGAGATCTCTTCCAGTCAACCCAATGCAGTTAGAAAGCATGTCGTTAGCGGGCAGCTGAAGTGCTACAACTATTAATACATAAACAAATATACTGTTAAATAAAATATTAAAATATATAATAAAATATTACATAAATACATACACTATAAATACATATAATACCTACCTACTTATATAATTAATGTTAAAATAAATTAATATACTACTTACATTAGAAATTTCGTTTAATGATTTTAAGATTTGACAGTTCAATTAGAAAAATACAAAAAAAAAAAATATTACTCAAGGGAAAGAAAATGTGATTTCAACCTCTTCTTGAAAGAGGTAATAGAGTGTGTTTATAATTTAGTGACATTATGTGTTTGAGAATAAATTCTTTTTTAACGCCCCCAGTTTTTCACCTACTTAAAAACCACTATTACAACAAATCACCCCCCAAGTCTCTACACAACGCCCCCATTTTTTTCTGGATCTCTTACCGCCTCCCTTCAGGCCTGCAGCGCCCACAAGAGGGCGTTATCGCCCACTTTGGCAAAATCTTTCTAGAGTATTCTAGAGGATATATTATAGCTTCGTTTATGATGGGTCTGGGTACAGTCGTCACGTGGCTACTCACTCTGTGCTGGAGTCGGGCGGTGGCCGCAGTTTCCTAGAGGCAGCTAGCAGCGGCCGAGCGGTCACCGACGAGAGCGTCAACAGAGAGTCTTCCTCTTGCTCAGTCGGCGACATGGCGGATAAATATGCACCTACTTGCTGCGAGAAGAGAACAGAAGATATTAAATATGACTCGTAGAATAGCAAAAGAGTACATACATACTAAAATTACATATATAAAGGAATAAATATATATAAATAACAAATATACTTACACATATATGACATATACTATATTATACACGAAATTGAGAATAATATAAAGCACTTACTGCTCGGATAAAGTAAAAATGTGAGCGTGAACGTTTACTATTACAGTTATCAGAGGGAGACTTCATCCTGGATTGTTAGTAATGCAGACTATCAGTCCCATTGCTAGCAATATGTCTTATTAGGTCGACCGGGTCGACTCGACCCCCACGTGGTTCCCCCTGGAAACCATCGTGAACAATTCTTGTTGAATTCGTCACAATGGGCTAACTGACCTACTTCATCCTCACCTATCATCCTTTACTGTTGCCCCGCCGGTGTATATCGATAGCGCGGGTGGGGTTACCATTCCATTATCATCCATTAAAAAAAAAAAACTACACTGGGTTGGCTGGAAGAGATCTCTTTCAGAGATAAGTCCTCCCTTGCTAACAAGTTGATAACTATCGCCGCATGTATTGTTTAAGTGCATTTTATATATATATATATATATATATATATATATATATATATATATATATATATATATATATATATATATATATATATATATATATATATGATTGTTAGTTCTTACAGTAGCTAACGGCAATTCGAGAAGCAAACTCGCCGGTCGCTCCCTCTGTTCAGGTGGCGCCGACTGGACCGACAGCAGGGATCCCTTGTCCGGGGACAGGTTGGCCTGGAATATTATATACATATTATTACTACAATTATTTACATATGTACATAGGTGTATACAATTTACCAGAGGGAGACTTTGTACAAAAGTCGATTGCTTGGGTACCTCTGTCCCATTCGTATTTATAATTTCTAAGTTATATATATATATATATATATATATATATATATATATATATATATATATTTTGACTAATCCGTAGAAGTCAAATTCATCAAGTTATGTCACTTGGTCTTATTGGCCGTATAACCCTACCAAATTCAGACACAACCTGCTCGCATACTCCCTACATTAACTGTGTCGAATATATAATCTAGTAATGTAAAATTTGTCATTGACAAATAATTGACATATCAAACATTTTCTATACACTAGCATGCTATGAATTGAGAAAAATAGCAACTGATGGTGTACCTTTCGTCCTCTTTTTACTAGTTACATTAGCATAAGAAGAAAGAAAGCAACCATATGATTTACAGTTTTTATCATTCCTTCTATGTAATTACTTGTTCTTAGATCGATTCATTTGCTACATAATGACGTCTGACATTCTAATAAGACGTCATTACGTAGTCATTTTAAGGTCATCGCAAAGGTACCAACCTCCGAGATAGTGTCAGTTGGCAGATCGATGGAGCAGGAGAGTGGTGCGCTCGCTGCCGGCGGGGCTGATGTGCCCAGGAGTTGGCTGTCGAATTTCGACAGTTCCTGCAAAGAATAAAACAGAAGTTTGAACTGTTTATATGTACAATAGAATGGTTACTCCACCTGCGCGGGTGGGGGGAGGCAGGATTGTCAGTAATGCAGACTATACCAGTCCCATTGCTAGCAATATACTCTGTCAGGTCGACCCCCACGTCATCCCCACTGGAAACCGTCGTACTGAATTCCAGATGTATTCATCACAATGGGCTAATTAACCTGAGAATGCCATTGCTAGCAATATACCCAACCAGGTCTACCTCCTCGCGGTTCCCCCTGGAAACTATCATGGTTAATTCCTGATGAATTCATTATGATGCGTTAACTGGCCTGTTTTCATTCTCATCTATCACCCTTCACTGGTGCTCCGCCAGCGTATCCCGTTAGCGCAGGCGGGGTCACCATACCATTTTCACCCATAAAAAAAACTGACCTACTTTCTCATTCTCACCTATCATCCCTCACTAGTGCCTTGCCGGCGTATACCGATAGCGCAGGCGGGGTTACCATTTCATTATCATCAATTAAAAAAAGTTTACACCTGCGCTGTTGGTATTTGCTGGCAGGGCACGATGAGAGATGATTGGAGAGGATGAGTGTAGGTCAGTTATTTATATTTTAATTTATTTCTATTTAAACAAATGAGAATATTGTTATCAGTCGTCAGTTTTTTTGGGACACAATCTTTAAATATTAATTTTAAGTAAACATAACACTTTTTTTAAAAGAAAGAAACATTTTTTGAGACCCCTAATAATAGATATCCCAAATTTTAAGGAGTAAGTTACTTTGACTAACATATTATACAATTATCATGGTTAAAGCCGCCGATTTTAAGTTTAAAGCAACAAAAGAGAGGATCTACCGTGAAATGAAAATCCGAATTTTCGAACTCAATTCGTATTTTCGTTCGCAACGAAATATGCCCAGCGAATGGAGCTTAACATTTCGTTTGTCATAAATCCTACCATAAAAATCCAAAGGAACGGTATTTTAACATTTTTTATTACTTATAAACGGTATTATTATGTAATTTTAACATCAAATTTGTTATTTTTCAAACTTATGTATAAAGGATAAATAAACGGAAGACAACCGATGGGGAAGAAAGGTTTTTGAGTGATAACTGCATACGGGTAAACGCAATGTAAGACGACTCCCACTAGATGGAGTGACGATCTCAAATGCATTGCAGGGAGTCGGTGGATGCAGGTGGCTCAGGACCGTTCTTTATGGCAGCCTATGGGGGAGGCTTATGTCCAGCAGTGGACGGAGAATGGCTGAGATGATGACGATGATGGAACATTCATTTATTATTCGATGTCTATACATACATATCTGTCACGCCTGTCTGCCATTAGGGTAGGCAGAAACAATGGAACGCCAAATGCTTCGATTCAAACAGACCTCTTTCGCTTGCTCCACATTCATCAATCTTTTCATACACGCTCGCCGGTTACGGGTACTTTTAATTTGGCCCTCCTTCAGCACGTCGCCTATTTGATCGACAGACGTCCGTCTAGGGCGGCCCCTACCGACGATCGATGTCTATATAATGTACACATGTTATAATGAACTTTGTTTTGTCTTTTCCGAGAATTGTTTCGACTTCATTGCCAAAATACAGTGAGTTTATTAATTTCCCGTGCCTTATGTACATAGACATCTAATTTATGTTTCGTTCGCCCTCGAAATTTCGGAAAACATTTTGTTTGATCATTTATACATATTATATGAAACAGTTTATGAGGGGGGAAAGGGATTATTGGTAATAGAGACTGAGAATCCTATTGCTAGCAATATAATACCCAACCAGGTCGACCTCCTCGCGGTTCTCCCTGGAAACTGTCATGGTTAATTCCTGATGAATTGATCATGATGGGCTAACTGGCCTGTTTTCATTCTCATCTATCACCCTTCACTGGCGCTCCGCCAGCGTATCTCGTTAGCGTAGGCGGGGTTACCATACCATTTTCACCCATCAAAAAAAAACAGTTTATGAAATAAGACCGATATGAAGGAAAACCCATTTATTTTATTAATAATTCCTTATTCTTAGGTCCAGATCATCATTACTAATACTACAGTGTTGCCAATATATAGAACATAGATAATAAATGACATATGGAACCTAAGAACAAGGAATTACATAGAAGGAATGATAAAATAAAAACTGTAAATCATATGGTTGCCTCCTTTCTTCATATGTAAATATAATTAGTAAAATAGGACGAAAGATACACCATCAGTTGCTATTTTTCTCAATTCACAGCATGCTAGTGTATAGAAAATGTTTGATATGTCAATTATTTGTCAATGACAAATTTTACATTACTAGATTATATATTCGATACAGTTTATGTAGAAAGTATGCAAGCAGGTTGTATCTGAACTTGGTAGGGTTATACGGCCGTATAACATTTTCTATAGACTAGCCTGCTATGAATTGACAAGTTTATCACTCCTTCTATGTAATTCCTTGTTCTTAGTACGGAATATAGTTCATGGTAGGTCCTCAGTTGTAACAATCGATGCAAAGGACATTATCATAACGAACTACTTCTATTTCTGTTGTAGTCGATTATGTTTACGTTCCAATAACGTCATTATGAAGCCAAACAAGTCGCGTTTGAAGAGAAATGAGGGCGGTGCGTTCAAATGTAAACATGAGGTGACATGTTTTTGCAAGTACAAGCAAGCACCTGCGTTGTTTATTACCTCAGTTCAGCGGTTACGATGGTTACTTCATTTGTTTTTTTTTATACCACTGAGGTGGCAAACAAGCATACGTCCCACCTGATGGTAATTGGTTACCGTAGCCTATGAACACCTGCAATACCAGAGGTATTACGCGTGCGTTGCCGACCCTGAAGAAACCTCTTTGTATTTGTATTGTTTTGTTTAAATCCACTACCATTAGTAACTACGTGTGCGACGGGGGGGAAAGGGATTGTTAGTAATGAAGTCTAATTGACCCATTGCCAGCAATACACCCTATCGGGTCGACTTCCACGTGGTTTCACCTGGGAAAGGTTGTGGTTAATTCTAGTGGAATTCGTTACGATGGGCTGACTGACCTGCCTTTTCATCCTCGCCTATCACCCCTCACTGGTGCCCCGCCAGCGTATACCGATAACGCAGGCGGGGATACCATTCCATTATCGTTCATTAAAAAAAAAACTATATGTGTGACTGGCAACGTTCGAAGATTCATCCTGACATTCATTCATCATGATAGAAGAACCACTGCTATTTACGAGGCGTTAACAGACACAATTTTTTTTAATAAGTAAAAATGGAATAGTAAACCCCTCGCACTAACAGTATGCACTGGCCGGGCACTGAGAATGAAAAGGCAGGTCAGTTGGCCCATCGTGATGAATACACCTGGGATTCAGCACGATGATTTCCAGGACCATTTGGAGGTCGACCTGACAGGGTATATTTCAAACACATTATTACTGTTCAGGGCCTAGTGATTTTTTTTATGTAACTTAGAGTGACAAACAAGCTGACGGCCCATCTGATGGAAAGTGATAACCGTCGCCTATAGACATGAGCAGTACCGTGGACATAAACAGAGTATACTGTTTCGCCCATGATACCCCCCATGCGTTGCCATTCCTGAGGACTCAGGTGTTAATCCTCTGTACCCTGTAATTTCACTGCCATATCCCACAATTATTTTGTTTTTATTAATACTTAGGCTCCGAGTAGCGATCTAATCATATGCCCAAAGATGCCTCGTGTAGAGGTGAAACGCTTGTCACAAAAAATGTGTATATAATTTTATAAATACAAGGTGAAATTGCAGTATTGTATGCTTGTTTGCCACCTTCGTGGTATAAAAATAATATAAACTGATTGAGTTGGTCTAAGCAATGATATCGATTCAAGTTCAAAACTGATATAAAACGATAAAACCGTGAATACAATGTTTGAAACATGAAACAATATTGTTAAATCAATAATTTACAATCCTCAAATGGTTGCGTGCACGAGAACATTGTCAAAAGCTGAATTCAAACAGACAGAGGTTCAATCAATAATTATCAACTTGTATTCGGTATACTTAGGAGACGTTCCATTTTCAAACGAATTCAAATGATGGAAAAGAATATGGTTGTAAAGTTCCATTTTCAAACGAATTCAAATCAGGAAAAGAATGTGGCTGTAAAGTTCCATTTTCAAACGAATTCAAATGATGGAAAAGAATGTGGTTCTAAAGTTCCATTTTCAAACGAATTCAAATGATGGAAAAGAATGAAATGAAATGAAATTTATTTGCTAGAAACATTGTAGAAAAGTTGTTGCATTTGTGAAGTTTATAAGATGTGCATTATGTTTCGCCACATCGAATGGCATGCAAATATTAATTGTTGAATTTATCCACAGATAGGCCATTTTATACAGGTACATTATATATTTAATTTTCAATTATTTACTACATTATACAATAAATCACTACAAGTGCCATGTGCAGTGTGGCTGTAAAGTTCCATTTTCAAACGAATTCAAACAGAAGGAAGTCCTCCATTCGGTTATATTTTTTTTTTTTTAATGTTTGTAACCTCATAACTCCGTCAATTGTGAACCGATTTGGAAAATTATTTTTTAATCCGAAAGGATATACTTTCAAATTATACCCATAGAATTTTTATCAAAATCCCGCCTGCCAAGAGTAGCAACTACTGGCAAAACCCCCCTTTATGCTTAGATAAACCTAGGTTCTACATAGAGATGCTTATCTTCAGCAGCGAACAGTTAACGGCCGATACGTTAATGTTCTAAATAATTCAGATTGGGAGGGAATGGACTGTTAGTAATGCGGACTACCAGTCCCATTGCTAGCAATATACCCCATCAGGTCAACCTTCACGTGGTCCCCCCTGGAAACCATCGTGCTGAATCTCAGGTGTATTCATCACGATGGGTCAACTGACCTGCCTTTTCATCCTCACCTATCATCCCTCACTGGTGCCCCGCCAGCGTATACCATTAGCGCA